GCCTGCCTCAACCTGAAATGCTTCTTCTGTTGAATATGATGGGTTGAACGATTCATAATCTGATGCTTTGTTCAGCTGTTTTCATGGCACAACTGGCAATATTTCCACTTGGCTGATGCTGCATCATCCGGTGGTTAGTCTCCTGGCAATTTTCGCGTTCGTTTTGTTCTTGGAAGAAATTTTCAAGGAATTTCCCGAAGGAGCATTCAGTATGGCTTAATTCGTTTCCAAATGTCATCAGTTTGTGCGTTGAGCATCAACACTTCGTCTCAAATGTTGTCACTCCCTGACCACGAAAACTAATTTATCCAGTGTTTTATTAGGCTATTACTTACTTTAATCAACTGCAATTCAAGTTTTGTCTGCTAGCTACGCAGACGGCAACTTTTCCAACTGTTTCGACTAGTGCTGCAGTACCTGATAGTCAGCTCGCTGGCATTAGTGAAGTACCTTGCTTCGTATGAATGGATTACCAGTTTAGTGGTTCTAGTCTATTAAAAATACAACAATCACAGAAATATAACAAACATCAGAAACAAAACAAACAGTAAAAAAACGTCTAAAACTGCCAAATCATAAATGAAATGGCAAGGAACTAAACTCAACAACTGTTATGAATCAATCTTCACGCTTTTTATAGAGCACTTAGTTCTCTTTAACGAAACTGAGAAACGTTCAACAGAAGTTCGCCTTAACAGATCATCCGTTTTCCCTGCGTCTTAGACCTATGCTGATAGGCGCACTCAAGAAGACTTGTGGTGAGTGTTACTTTGCCAAACATTGGGCAGTTACGCACAGTCAGATTCGCATGGCACCAAAAACGGCGTGGGAAGCAAAAACAAACAGTGTGACGCTATTATTATGGGATTTGACAAACATAAAGTGCGAAAAGTTGAAGCCAGCAAGCCGTGCGAATGCGAGGTATTAGCAATTTGCAGAAAATTTCCAGTGAAGTACTGCTATTTCGGTAAGGCATGAATACCATCAAAACAGTGTACACTGAGGAAGAAGAGCTGAGCTAGCGGTATGGCAGGAATGAAGGATGGCGGATGAGTAAAGCGAATTACTGAATAATACCCATGAAATGTTGAAACACACGAAGTATGCTAGTCTGAATGACTATATGAAACTACTGCAGATAAGTGAGGCCCAAAATCCAGAATTATAAAGTACCAACAACTAAATCCGAAAGATCCTCAAAGCAAATATGATTCATGATGATACATGCACGAAAAATGGCACAAGCATTGCAAGAAATTTACCTGACAACGGCGACCATTTTGGTCCAAAAAGCCATTGATATGTCGCAAAGCAACATCCAGGAACTGAGTACCGCAAGCTATGTAATTTAATCCTATTGAATCGTGAATAAACCATCTGAAATGAGTAGGAATTGGAGGTAAATGCATGCAGGGCGGAACAGCTCGCACTTCTATCACCTGAACCACAGGAAATTTGCATACAATATCTGTTTAATTTTCTAGACGATAAAGTACCCCATCGATCGAAGAGTAACCAGCAATGTCCGGAATGAGATGAGTGTTATTTAACAGTCACTAAGGACGCCTTGGTATAGCTAAAGCCTTGCCTTTAATAAAAGAACCATTAAACCTTGGGGGGATGAAAAAACGTAGTTGCCAGCAGGCTAACCACCAGGTGATGCAGCACTGAACAAAGCAACCGGAAAAATTGTTCACTGCGAAGGTGAAGAAATAAGTGTTTCAAATATTTGAGGTGTATGTACACAGTCCAGGAAAAATATGAAATTTCGATAGATTTGTTTTTAAAACAAAGAAAAGCTAGTCCTAAATAATGTAATTTGATTCGTCTAAAAGCTGCCACCAACGCGATCACCAGAAATAGTCTGCATATGCAAAATATACCTAACAAACAGCTTTGAATATTTTTGTAAAATGTACAGAATGATCGCGAGAACTACTAGAAATTTGCAAACCTGAGGGAATTCACAATGACCTCTTTTTGCTGACAGGGGCCCTCGGCAAGCCAGTGAATGAGCACATCAAGCGCGCCTTGACAACGCAGTGCCGCTCGTCCCCAGGCATCCTGAAAGCAAAAGAAAATTCAAGTTTCCATCAAATAAAGCATAAAGGCAATGCCTGGAATAAACAAACCGTAGAAAGGTCTGTGCCACGCAAAATTTCTGCTAAGAATAAAATACAGAAGAATTTAGCTACTTTTTAACCGCTACTTTTATTTGTAAAGAAATAAAAACAGTCATAAGTAATCAAAGTAAAGAGAAGTGGACAATGAGCAAACACTGAATTTCTTCCTTTACTCTCTCCAGTCCTTGCAAGAAACTCTAACAATTTCGCTTACAAAAAAAAATCAAGCTTGTGAACACACGTAAAAGGATGACTGTTGGTGAAATTTTTGGAAAAATAAGATACATATAAATGACAGTGACCTGTGCGAAACAGAGCAGCATTTTGAGCATATACTCGGTGCGCGGCTGCGGAGCACTGACAATCTTCTGGATACATCCTGGCGTTTCAAATTTCTCGCGCAGCTCAAACGATGCGACACACAAGTCGACGATCACCTCTTCATACTGGCCATCCAGGAAACAGGTCAGCAGAACGGGCACGCCACTGCTAAAATAAAACATGCTGTTACCAACCAAAATTCTTATGCCAATTACAGTGCTGGCGAATGGTGGACAATGTCCATTACTCAAACTTTTTAAATCAATTTTGCAGTTGGAATTCTGAAGGAAAGACTGGAATTTATGGCTGAAATTACGTACGGCTTTCATAATTTTTCTACTTTTCCGGCTTATCATAGCTGCTGATACTGGATTATCGGATGGAAGTAATACAGGAAAGCATAAAGGTAACCTGGTGGCAAGCTGTCGTCCAATCTGTTTCCCTCCTTTGCTTCGCGTAAAACGACAGATCAAATAAAGGATGGCAGATCTGAATTCGCTGGCCTGAGTAGCGCGCATCTCGGCGGTCCGGTGCAGCAAATTGCCCAAATAGAAGCCAATATTTGCAAGAAGAAATGGCTGAAAAAGAACTTCAAAATTATGCAAAAATTTGTATTTTCAAGTAATTATTAAAACTGAAAAGAAATTAATCCATAACGTAGTGCAATGTTCCCCTTGAACAATCTATAAATCATGTTTCTTTGTTCAAATAAGTGACATATGTCGTATACGGTTTGAATAAAGATGTTATAATGTATTACACATGCAATGCAAGAAACTGCAGCAGCAGTAACCTCGATTCGCAAGCAACCCAGATAAAGTAGAGCTCAATATCAGCCAGAGTTATGTATACACTGAACAGCATCCTAATTACAAACTAGCGTATGTATTATAATCTACGCACCACCAGATTAAACAAAAATTGCCCGGACTACAAGTGTGGGTATCCCACATGCACTGTACTGATGATTCCCACCCCATTTCGCACCGATTCTGCAGTATGTGTTTACAGCTCAGGGATGAAACTGAGACAAACTACCAATTCATCGTACATGCACGTTTGCCTATATGGGAAATCTAAGTGGCACTTCTAGTGCTTTCAAAATTAAATTTCGACTGTATTGCTCTCCACGGTGATCCAGCAACGCCAAACAAATTGCATGTGTTAATGCTTAGTCAGTTCCACGCCCCCGTTCTTTTCCAATTTCCTGGCCAAGGATATTCATTGTTTATATTTCTGAAATTTCTACAATACTTAGTATTGCTACTGTGATGCTCCCATATGCCAAGCACAGATATACCAGGCCCTTCGGTTTGGGGCTGTATACCTCCAACTGGCACCTGGCGCCTGTTCGATATATGTACGCCACTTTTCTTGTAGTCGCCAAGTGGTCGTTTGCTTTTTATGCGCTTTTCTTATATGCAAATTGCAAAAACGGATATGCAACGGTCCTGTCTGTGTGTGTGTATATGTGTGTTCGCCTGTTCGGGTATTTCAACTCGGCAACCAAGCAAATTCCAGTGCCAAGATTTTGCTAGTAGTTTCTCCGGCCAAGTGCCACCCGAGAACCGCGGTATCAACCTTCACGCAAGTTTGGGTCCCGCGTACGAGGGGGTGGAAATTTTGGCGGGAAAATTGATAACTCGGAAACGAGGAAAGATAAAGCTGAAATTTTGAGGTTATGTTCCCCGTCCAAATATAACTCAAAGATTTCAAATCGAGCCCCCAGTCGTAAGTGGTTTTCAAGTACGGCTCCGAGAGATTTTTCGGCGGGAAAATGGCTAACTCGGGAACTAGCAAAGCTGGGAAGCTGGAATTTTCAGGGGATGCTCCCAGCCCATGTACGACTTAAAGTTATCAACTTCCTTTTGTGCAAAATTTACGATAATAAGCGCACAAGGTAGGTGTGAAGAAACAACCGTTCATGCAGTTAACCTAATTACTTCAAATTTGATGCAAAAACGCATGATCACACTGACTCGCCTGGTGCGTTCCAGCCTGGGTTCCCTTTAATTTTGCACGGCCACACTTCGTGTCTTTGATGCGCAACTGGCAACTGTTCCATTTTTCTCTGTTTTGAGTTCCTCTCATTCAGACAATTCAAGGAAGCTGAGATGAATGTTCCGTTCTAGTTCACAGCTCCTCCAATACTATTTTGCCATTGCGTGGATAATTTTCAGTAATAAACTGCTTCGTCCATATCACCAGCTCAACTCACTCTAATGCGCCCTGTCATCAGATTATCACTAATGGTAGGCCAGGACTGCAGTAGTAAAATGCACTGCAACTTGCTGACACATACTGATTCGTCATTGACTTCTCACCACTTCCGGTACTTCTTGTTTCAGATTCATGTAAAAAAACTAGTAATAAAAATCTCTCTACGCATTAACTTCTTTACGTTCGATAAGCTGACAGAGTGCTTTTTTTTTTCTAGCTCGTTCAGTTCTGCATATAGATGGATCCAGGACAGGCTCCTCGTCGGGAAGGAGAGGGGCGGAGGGAGCTAATTACAGTTATTTCAGTTCAGAGTTACTTTAAGGTTTAGTTTACATTATACATTATTTTTTACTTTAAACTCGGGGTTTTGCAGCACTGATGCCTGTGCTGCTACATGAGACGAGGGGAGCGGGAAAGACCCATCGCTCTTCACCTGGATCTGTCTATGATTCTACACATTGTCGCTACTGATAATGTGAGATATTCAGGTGGCTGTGAGATTTTGGCTCACTGGGACTCAGTCCCCAAAGTTTTTTCGTCAGAAATTTCAGCTCGCAATGTTCATTGAGTTGTATTGTGCTGGGGTTACATCTCTCGATGTCTGCGCGTATGAGTTGTATTTCCCCTGGATGGTGCTCCTTCAACGACGAGGTTCGTCCACGCAGCTCATTTCATTCGCATTTTTCAAGCTCCGCTTCCCACCGAATTGCATTATACCATCTGGACGGGCCGCACAACCGACAATGGTATCGATCAGCGCAGCGACAGCAGCATCAACAGCGGTAGCGGGAGCAGCAACATGTGTTTATCACTTTTTGGATGTTCGAAGCAGCCAACTCCGGAAGAGGAGGGGAACCAGAGGAAAGGGGAAGGGGTGGGAGGAGGGGGGGGGGTCACGGCTAACCGGATTATAGTGCGGCGAAATGTGCCACCTATGAGCAATACGTTTCGTGTTCATTGTTACCTCCCTCAAATTGTCCTGTTTGTTTTTTAGCATATAAGGATTAACGAGTGGGGGGTATCCACGTTCGTTTTCTCCAGCTAATCTCAGGATCAACGAGCCTGGCTTAACTGCGCCCATCCCAAACTGAGATCATGAACAGCAGATACTCCAAGAGGCGGTTACACGAGCGATCCCTAAGGCCCAGCGGAACCTTGAGATCATTAAGCCTCGAGACAGATGCGCGTTTTAGGCCAAGCTAGATCCGCTCGAGTCGCGAACTTGAACTTGCCAGGCAGTGCTGTTACGTACATGGACACCTGACATTCGGAGTCTTCAGCGAACGGAGTTCTCTTTCTCAGGCCCTGACGGTCTAGCATCACGTGGGTTCCATAGGTCGCCGAAGGGGAGGGGGGGATCACGGGGCGTATTGTCGCTGAGGCATCTGATATCGTTGTCGAAGCTCTGAATCGCCTTCATATGGCCTTACGCGTGTTCTGCTGCACGCTTCTAGAAGGGAGATTTAGCGGCGATGTCTGTGAGATTTTAGTGGCCCGCCTCGTGGCCGCGTGTTCTGCCTTCTGTTGAGTTTCAGGTGATAATAGTAAGGTTTTTATGTTATGCGTTTTGTGCTGTGTAACAGCAGTACAAAACGCATATTGTCACGGGGTTGTCTGTGTGT